CTGTCCCCGACCGGGGGCCGGGTTTCCCTGCCCCCCAGCCGGCCAGCGCCTCGGGCTCCCTCAGCGCCTCCTCCGCCGCCTCCCACCGCTCGCGGGCCCGCCCGCGCTACAGGACCAAGGCCGTGAACTCGGAGGTGGACGAGAGCCTGTTCGGCATGGCCAAGGTGAGGCCGGGGCAGCCCGCACGGGCACAAGGGGCGCAGGGGGGTGGGGCCGCGTGTGGGATGGAATAACTCCATTCTCAGAGTTGAGTACCTTGCACCAAGTAAACTTCACCAGCAACTCACAAACATTAAATCAAATGATTTAGTTCAAATGTTCCAGCTGACTTCATCTGCTGTGGTGATGCTTACCATATAACTGGTTACCCATCCAGGCTGGAACAGCTGCACCCTTCCACCCCCTGGGCTGACATGGGCAAGGGGCCACTCTAGCTCGGCCAGTCTGGGGAGGTAGCCCCCCGCCTGAGGATCCTGGATAACCAGTTAAATGTAATGTTTAACCAGTTAACTTTTTAAATGAGATTTTACATACCTAATGTAAAAGCACGTGCATTGCAGTTACGCTGTGCAGAAACATTTCTTTGCATTGTTTTTTGCAATGTGCAGATCTGAAAGCAATTTTTTCAACTACTTAGAAAGATACTGGCAGGAAACCACCAATGTCACCCCTGGTTTCACAAGCAGTTGCTCATGGGCAACATTCAGGAAACAGTGGACATAACTTGAATGAAATGGGGATTGTGCCTGTGCATGGCAGATCTGAACCTTACCCTTCCATTTGGCTAAAAAATGCTTGCGCCTTTAACTGCAACTTGGAGCATTTTTCTGTGACGGGTGTGCTCTGAGAAGTTATTTATGAAAAGAAAAAGCAGTGTAGTAGAGATCCAACCAAGGTGTGAGCAGAGCTTACCATAGTGTCAGGGAGGAGTCAATCCAAGCTGAACTTTGTTATACCCGAAGACTAAATCGATACTGTCCTATGCAGCGCAGACTATGTTCGCAACACATAACAAAAATGTATGTAAAAATACATTAGAGAAGAGATTGAACACCACCAAATGTAATTGTCCTTGCTTCCTGCATATGTCAATTTCATGACATCAATTAAAGTGTATAGTTATAGTAGGTGCAGAGTAAGATGAATCATATCTGTGTTCTAAATACATCCTCTGGATAGCCTCCTGGTGTGAGAACCAAGAGAAACAATAGCTGCAATAGAGCTTGAAGAATTCTAGGCATGAATAAAACATGATTTGGTCTGTTTCAGGGAAAATAAATCATCTGACCACAAAACCGGACCTGCTTTCCACATATACCTGTTCAAACGATGCCCAAATTTCAGCACAGTGAAATTCTTATTAGGCACTTAGATAGTACTCATCACCGTACTATCAAGTGCCTCACAATCATTCATGGATTTTATCTTCAACACAACTAGATGGTACAGGAATTTCATCCTCATTTTATATTACGGAACTTGCCCAAAGTTACACAAGAAGTTTGGAGCTCAGCCAGTATCCAAACTCAGGATTTCTGAGGCCTTTTACTATTGCCATATACTCTAGACCATCCTTCCTACTTTTCCTTTAAGCTTCACTTATTTAGAACATGCACATCTTGTCTTCCTGTAATATTTGCCATTGACATTTAAGTAATGTTCTCATAACTATATTGGTTACATACTTCAGAGCCAATTTTTCTCTTTGTTCAAGGAGTAACGCAGGGGAATCAAGGATCAAACAAACACTTAAATTCCCACTCACCCATGTAGCATTTCCAAACCATGGCAGTTTGTAGACTTCTCTAAAGCAGTATGAAACTCCAACTGAGCACACAGGAATGTGTTTCCCCTGATTTCACACTGAAGTTATGCAGAGCTACTTAGATCTTTATAGTTTCCACCCACAGAAAAAAAACTACACACACACACACACAACCCCCCACCCCCGGCGCTTGAGAGCCGGGGGGCAGGCACGCTGGCTCAATCCCGGCTCCCAGGAACGACCCCCACTGCAGCGCTGTGTTCACATCCTCACTCTTACCTTGGCAGGGATCCGGCCTTTTGACAGACAGCAAAACTAAGGATTTCGATGCACAGCCGCAGCTGGGACGCGGCATGAGCCAGGACTCACGTGCCTTTAAATACAGAAGCAAAATACAGGGCTATGTAGCACTTTAAAGACTAACAAGAGGGTTTATTAGATTTATTAGATTTATCATCTAATAAACCATCTTGTTAGTCTTTAAAGTGCTACATAGCCCTGTATTTTGCTTCAGCTACACCAGACTAACACGACTACATTTCTATCACTATTTAAATACAGAGCTGCTTATAGGTTAATTGTGTAACTGGCAACATTTTTGTCGGCTAGACGATTAGTGAATTACATGCTTCCTAACATCCCTAGTCTGTAGCTGCAAAAAAATGAGCTGCAGAGATCTGCCTTGACATCCACAGCTATACATGGATGTGTAGGGCTCTATGGGTTAGCCACTGGACCCAAACCACTTGAAGAGCCCTGGAAAAATGAGTCTCTTCACGATGCTATTAGCTCTGATCTCCCGCCAATTGTTCCAGCCAGGGAGTGGAACCATTCTCACTGTCCTCAATAACCCCCAACCATCTTCCCTGGTGGGAGCTTGAGAAACAGACAGAAAGGGATAGATGCTGCCCGTGGGCCATAGTTTGCCCACCCCACACTACACAATACAAACAGTATTTCAAAAGCATAATCATAAATACCCCAGAAAGAAATGAACATGAATATACTCCCCTTAACTTCCTTCTTTCTGTGGATATAAAATAGCTTCACTAAAACACCTACTCCAGCTCTTTTATGGATAAGGCTGAGGACTGGAACTTTGTGAGGGCTAAATTAAATTAATGAAGATTGCCTAGCTCCTTGGACTGGAAGGGACAGTCCAGTCCCCTGTCTTTACAGCAGGACAAAGTACCATCCCTGACAAATTTTTGCCCCAAATCCCTAACTGGCTGCCACAAGGATTGAGCTCACAACTCTGGGTTTAGTAGGCTAATGCTCAAACCACTGAGCTATCCCTCCCCCCTCTTAGGCTCTTTTATAGCCTGTGTTGGGACAATAGGTAAAGGTCAGCCCACAGGTGGCCCTACAGCTTGCACTCATGGCCCCACTCCAGTCAGGCTTTGAAAGAAGGAATTGTTCCTAAGTAAATCCAGCTGTCTTCTCATCTCTTAGGTCCAAAGTCACATAGGCAATTTAGGTGCCTAAATCCCAAATTTAGGCGCCTTTGCCTCAATTTTAGGCACCACTGTGATCAGCTGCTAACTCTGTAGACCAGTGTTTCCCAATTTTAATTGGCCGAGGAACCCTTTTCAGCTTTTCAGAATTTCAAAGAACCCCTAGGTTTGTGAAGCAAAAAAAGGGGGGGGGGAGGGACCCACCAATTCATGAAAATCACATTCCTTCCCCAAGACCCCCCACCCCCCTTCCTTGAGGCCTCATCTGCTCTGTTCCCTTCCTCTCCATCACTTGCTATCCCCAGCCCTTATACACTCTCACTAGGCTGAGACAGGAGGTGTGGGGTGGGAATGAGGGATTTGAGTGTGGGAAGGGGTGAGGAGAAGTACAAGCTCTGGGAGGGAATTTGGATGCAGGAGAAGGGGATGTTGGCTCGGGGAGGGGGCTCCAGGCTGGGGAGTGTTGGGCTCAGGTGGAAGGTTGGGGTGCTGAGTAAGCCATAGGCTTGTGGATGTGAGGGTGCAGGAGTTTGGGCTGGATATGTGAGGAACCCAGGGCAAGAAGGTTGTGGGTATGATGGGCTCAGGACACAGATTTGTGTTGTGTGGATGGTTCAGGAGTGTTGTGGAAGAAGACTGAGGATGTGGGGATACAGGAGTTTGGGGATGAAAGAGGCTCAGGACAGGAGGTTCCAGTGTATAATAGGCTCAGATTTGGGGTCAGGTGGTGCAGGAGTGTTATGATGCTGCAGTGAGATGGGGGTTTGGCCCCAATTGGGGGCTTGTTGGCCAGGCTTCATTTTTAAATAAGATATTATGTCAAACTCAAAAGGTTTTAGCATTGTCTTTATTTATGAGAGGGGTGAGGAACCTGTTTTGAGTCAAGGGTCACTGACCCACAGAAAAGTCAGTTGGGGTGACACAAGTGAGGGTATGTCTACACTGGCACCCTAGTTCGAACTAGGGTGGCTAATGTAGGCATTCGGAGTTGCAAATGAAGCCCGGGATTTAAATATCCCGGGCTTCATTTGCATCTTGCCGGGTGCCGCCATTTTTAAAGCTCCGGTAGTTCGGACTCCGGGCCCGCGGCTACACGCGGCAAGGAGTAGGTAGTTCGAATTAGGCTCTCTAATTCGAACTACCGTTACTCCTCGTGGATGCCCACCCCCTCACCATCCTCTGCCCCTCTTCCCCTCATGCCCCTGTGCCCTCACACATGACTTGCTCCATCCCGGCCTTCCTCATGCCCACCCCTTCTTTCAAGCCTTCTCCCAGCACCTCCCCCTCCAGCCCGCAATGCCCTTACCCTCTCCCCACCCAGCATCACCCCGTCCCCCTCCCTCTCCTACTGACACTGCCCCTGCTGCCCTTTTCCTCATTGTCTGTACTTGGCCCCCTGGCATTAGTCTCTCCTCTACCCTGTCCCTTTGGTGCCTTTCCTTCTCTTCCTCCTCTCCCCTCCCCCTCTGCACAAGCCCCTTCCTCTCCCAGCCCTTCCCCTTCCCCTACCTTCTGCCTTCTACTTTGCAGGGCTGGAGTCTGCACTCTGTCCCTGGACTCCAAACCCGCAACTCAGCCGCGCGGCGCAACGCGGCGCCCAGCAGTTTTAAAATCCCGGGCCGTGACGTTACATGATGCCCGGGCATCTCCCCGCCCACTGGTTTAAGCACACCGTGTAGGGCAGCAGCAGCCGGCAAGGGGGAAGCTCAGTGAAGGTTACGCACGGCAGGGATGGGCCGGGGCCAGGGTGGGAGGATGCGTGGGGGGACCAGGGCCCGCTACAGCTCCAAATAATGGTGGAGCATAGGCACCACGAGCCCATACAACTCGCCGCCCATGCCTCTGCTGGCTAGCCCTCTCTCTCTCTCTTTCAGAGGGGGCGGGGGAGTGCCGGCTCCTCGCGGAACCCCTCGTTTTGCTTCACGGAACCCCAGGGTTCCCCGGA